ATTAATGCATAGAATCGACAAACGAGTTGGCTATATTTATAAAACTCTTTCGAGTTTCGCGATACACCTATCGCACCGGAATTGCGACTGAACACGCAAAAATGCTAACAACGCTAGCGGTATTGAAGTATCGTCGCGTATCGATGCATATTTTAAAATCAGCACTCGATATTTTGCGGATATCAAAATATGTTACGTGTAAAAAAAAAAAAACAAAAAAAAAGCATTCCTTCGCCGAAAAGCGAGCGAGAATTATCGGCGATCAGAGAAAAACGCACAGATCGGACGACGTGAAAGTGGCGCGAGAGGTAAATTTCTTATTTAAAAAGCGTTGTGCAATCTCTGTGTTCGCGTCGCGGATTGGACGGCGGATTTCTGAAAGTTGCGAATTTGCAAACGACGGAACCGAGCGTGAGCTTATCGGAACGTTCGGAGCAATGTATCGTCCGCTGTGTTATTACGGGCGCGATCCATTAAAAACCCGACGCGCCCTCCAATTGGGGTGCAGCCGCGCCGTATGCGCTCGCAGCAGGTTCGCGCCGTTTCTGCGTGATGGTACAGGCAGTCGGCCCGAAAATGCTTGGTGGTCCCTCGAGTGGAGCCCGCGGAAGAAAGAACCACCTGCCGTAGGGATCGGTGGGGGCAAACTGCCGTCGTGCACCTCTGCCTTCGTCCCCGCCGCCCCTACCCCCCCCTCCTTTTCGCTCCTGCGCCCTCGACCCCGCGCGAGAGATGGGGGCCCAACGTTCACAGACACCCTTCTGTCCCTTCCGTCCCGCCGCATAGATCTCCCCACCATTTAACCGCCGTCGTCGTCGACAGGGTTGGCTCGTGCTACATTCATGCCCAGGGCACGAGATGGATCTTGCTCCGAATGAATTTTACGTGTGCAAGAGAAGAGGAAACGAATAGGAAAGCGGATGAATGGTTTATTCAGGACTTACCTATCAAATCCCGTAGATGATAAATCAAATGTTTTGCACGGTTTTGATAAAATGTTGCCGGGTGAGTGAGATTGCGTTGCTGTGTGTCAGAAAAATGAGAGAAGAGAACGCCTGCAATAAACAGTAATGTAAATTAATTAAAATCACGTTAATTACGTATCTCTTCTTTTAGAAATTTCCTCTTAGAGAACATCTCTTGTGTAACACAAAATATTACAACATGAACATAGAAACATGAATACTAATTTAATTATGTAATAGCATTAATGTAATGCAATTATAATAGTATTATCGGATAATTCTAATAATATATTGGTTATATGGAGGGGATGTAATGGAATAATGGGAAATGAGAAAGATAAAAGGTAGGTATCAGTGAATATCGACAAAGTGGACAAGAATATTTTGGAAAGGTCATATAATAAGTACAGACGAAAAGTAAGTCTATTATTCTTGTCGCTCAATTCCTATACATGTACATATTAAAATTGGACAAAGCGTCTATTAAGTAATTAAAATAATTAAACTCGTTCAGTCCCGACGCTGCCATATGGGTGCCGATTAGCAGACTTAAATTAGAGAATTATGTAAATTTTAACAAAATTGCCTTCTACCAAAATTAGCATGTTCAAATGTAGACGTCATTATTGCTAGCGTGTTACGTATTTCATTCATCGTGTAATTTTTTACGGTGCTTATAGCAAACGATATTTTTAATCCGCGATGTCTTTATTAAAACTCTGCCACACTTGAATATAATAGTGTCAATTTAGTCATTTTGCGTGTAGCAGGATCGCATTGCTCGCAGTATTGATGTATGCACTGATTCTGGATTGAGTGAAATTAAATTATAATAGTATTAATGTTCCTATTGATAGGCATTATAAATTTATAGTATAACGGGATGCAACGTTCTGTAAGGGGAAATTATTAAATTTAATTAATTAGTTGTATACTAATGCTGATGTCTAATCACAGCTTTTCCGTGATATGACAGCGCTGTGTAATTTTACAATCTCTCGATATTATTCGACCTCTTGAGAAACGTGTTTCGTCTCGTGAAACGTAACCGGTCGTAAGGACCTCACAAAAATTTACTGCCTTCATTAAATTTCAGCGTCGTTTTCGAGAGGGTAAAACGTAATGCACTCCCTCACTCTCTCCGTCTCCGCCCCTCTCTCTCTCTCTCTCTTTCTCTTTCTTTCTTTAGATAGCCAGAATGCACTATTACCAGCGAGTTGAAGTAGTTCCTAGTGTCATCCAAGTACCTCACTCGCCGGCGCATATCTCAAGAGGGACCATATATGCGCAGCAGGGACCGCATTTCCCTTGAGACCCTTATTTAAAGCCACTTTACGCTGTAACGAGAGTAAAACGTTACAAAATATTAAATAATGACAAATAGTTTTACAAAGAAACGTTGCGCGCGCACGTCGCTCGTAACGTCCGTCCGCTTCTCTAATTTCCGCTTCCTCCGCGTGCGAAGACGTCGGGACAAGGAGGGAGGGAGGGGAATCACGATTCAGTCGAAATTCACCATCAAATTGAGGAACCCTGCGGTAAAGCGAGTCCTCTCTTCACGAGCCTCGAGTTAGCGCCTCTTGCACCTGCAGCCGTGCATCCGGCTCTGGCCGGTTACCACCACCGCCTTCGCCGCCGCCGTTGCACTCGGCCGCCGCCACGGACGGTTGTAGTACGACGCGGCACACTATGCGTGGCGGCTCGAGTGATTCGTAGAGGGGGGGGGGACGAAAATCTCGAGGTGGGGATAGCAAAAGGCGCGATGAGACTACAGGCTCAGTTGCCGTGCGACTGTCGAGGGACGCACTGGTGGTGTCGACGGACGCGTGACGTTTCTCAGTTTCTAGCCTCGCGCCAGTCCGATCTACGGAGTTTTCCCTCGTCGAAGAGAAAACGAAACTCGGCCGATCTCGTTTCATAACTGTCGGACGGCGAGTCCGCGGCGCGAAAGGGAAAAATAAAGGAGGGAAAAAAATAGTTTCGCGTTTCGACGGAGAAACGAGGATCCATCTCGGGCGAGGGACGAAGAGGAAGAGGAGGTGAAGGAAAAGGAGGAGGAGGAGGAGGAGAAATCCCGATTTAAATCTCCGACCGCAGGAAGCCATTAATACCGTCAGGTGCACGCGGTCCACGCAAACACGTATACGGCGTATCGCATAAACGACACACACACACGGACACACATCCACCGCCCCGTGCGGGAATGGAGTCTCACCCCCGTGCGCGCAGTTGAGCGATGATCGCGCGTGAATCGGCCGCGAGGAGCAGCGCGTCGCCGTGTCTTTCGCCTGATGCATCGTCGGGCCGCAGCGTTAACGCTGGCGTAAGGCCGCCGGTCGTGTCACCCGCGTGTACCCGCTCGCGGACGACAGACAGTTCCGGACGGTAGCGACCGACGACCCGACGAGCGGAAAGGAAAAGCGGAGGACTCGACGTGTGTGAAGAAATGGTGCGGCGTGCGCGCTCGTGTTCGCTCCCGCCGTCGCCGTCGCCGTCGCCGTCGCCGTCGCCGTCGCCGGTGCGACATTCTCGCAGTGTACGACGTCATTCGTATGTGTGTGCGTGTGGTGTCATTGGCCTGTGAGGAGGAGGAAATGGTGCAGTAAGTCGCGTGATAAAGGAAAACAAAAAAAAAATAATATATATATATATATATATCTACATTCGTGATACATTATTGACAAGGTGTGTTAGGTCATCGTTACCATTGGGATTTGATCTTATTGTGCTGTTCAAAGTACGACGGGGAATCTCGACGAACGTGCGAACGAACGACGACCGAGAGTCCGGGATAAGTGCGCGCGAGGAAGAAAAACACAAGTGTGAAATTACTAAACTACCTCCCCCCTCCCCCCGCGTGTGAAGTTACTCGGTAAACTCCGCCTCCTCTTCAGGTAGCCATGGATAGAAAGCCGAGGATCAGCCACCGCACGCGGATCGCGATAATGAACCTATTGCTGCTCTGCACCGGTGAGTATCCGTTGCGCGCGAACGGGGGGAAGTCTTGTAACGAACGCTATGATTAAAAACTAATTCCGTCGAAACGCACGCCACGGGGGTGGCAGTTAATTAATGAACGATTCAGAGGCGTCGCGGGTTCGCGGGCGAGTCGGTCGGTCGGTCGCGCGCGGCGCCGCTTTCCATATAAATATCGGATAAATTGATGATTCTGCGGCGCGCGGCGCAACACGTCCGCGGGATGAGAGGCGGTGTGCCGAGGAATGAAACCGGATTCGTATGGATTGCGTGGGCTGCGGGATTGTACAACTCCGATGCCACGTCCGCGGTGCATCGAGAGACGGCGTTCGCCGAGGCATCCTCGACGCTTTGTTGCATCCTCGAGATGCTGCACCCCTCGATCTTCTCTCTCGGGTTGCTTAAGGCGAAAAACGTTATCGTTTTTGTTTTCCTAGATTGATCTCGAGAACTCTTTGCTTTGGCTTCCGCCTCGTCGCCCGGTACGGTGACGGGAATGTTACGAAGGCCGCATTAAAGAGCTCGAATAAGGACATGTGGGTGGAGGAAAGATGATTAGGGGGTTTAAAGCTATAAGCTATAAGTCGACGGTATTACTCTTTCTGCGGAAAGCGATGTGGAAAATAGAGAATTCATCGAGAATTTCATCGTCTTCGTTGAAACGAAACGTAACACGAACTTTGTTCTTGCAATCGATGGAGACAAAAGGTAAAATGGTGACTCTATAGATTACGCGAAAGAGACTAAGATATAAAAATCATGAGTAAAGGGAGTAGGAAGTAGCACAGACCTACCGTATATCTCCCGATCGTTAACTAAAGCGACAGTGTGTGGAAAAAATCTGCGCTATAACCACATCGGCTGTGGATCGATTAGGAAACGTAACGTCGCGACAGAAATATCATCAAGAACACAAAAGGACGCTTTTTGCCGAGTTTTTCCTGCTCCTTACCTTCCTACACGACGTCGAGATATAAACGCTCAGATTGTAAGATCGGTGCGAGATCGACGTTTCTGAAAATGTGTGCTCGCTGCAGGCGACTCTGAAAAGATATTTCAGATCGCCCGTAGCAACCTCATTCCAGCCGAATTGACGATCAAAGAAAGATTTCCGTCGACCGCATGGCGAATTCTTAAATATCTCGGCCGTATTGTTAAAAATGGAAAAATTCATAATCTCCGAGAACGAGTCGCGGGTATGCGGTCACGCTGCCGATCTTCAGCAGCGAGTAGTTTCATGGAAGACTGCCTCGGAAACGCGCTACCAAGCAGCGTCAGCATGACCACGAGCAGTCTCTGTTAAGAATCACGCGACTGAGAATAATTCATCTTCAACAACGTAGATCAAAAATTTAAACGGTGTCGTACCGACGACCGCGTCATTAAAGAAATTTTATGTCGAAAGTTGCGAACTGTTTGCGCAGTTTTCATCCTCACTTCTTTTCGGAGCTCATCCCTCGCGAATCAAAAAGCCGCGCACTTTTGACAAAATTAAATGTCCTCGTTGATAAATCCTCGAAACCCGTTGCATCTTCAACGATCGTCGCGGCGCAAAATCGCGTGTTAATATTGCATCGATATTCTTAACTCTCGGACGTGCATCTCCCCTCTTTTGGGAGTTCTAAGCTGCTTTCTCAGTCAGTTTCATTTTATTCGCGCTTAAATATATATATATATATATATATATATATATATATATCAAAACCGCAATATGTAGGCTACTCTGCAATATTAAATATAGATTTTCAGTAATTGACGACATTATCGAAAAATTGAAAAATGTACTGAGAGAAACGTTAATCTTTGAGTTATGTTTAAAGACTTACGAACGATTAAATGTCACCTGAGGAATGGAGAGGAAGGGGGAAGTTTGCTCGCTCGAATACAAGGCTCATGGGTGCCAGAAATGCAGATGCACCGGTGTAAGATGCTGTTACACAGATCGGTCCTTTGTGGCATGTCAAACCGCGCGGCAACCTAAACAGCCGTCCGGTTTCCGCTTTAATCGCTCGGCTCTCGCCTGCGTCGTGCGCGTTGGCTCGCAACGATGTTGTAACGAGCGGGCAGGAGAGGAGAGGAGGGGAGAAGCGGGGCGGAAAATTTGCATACGCGCAAGGTTACGCGTGTGGTTGTGTGTGCCCCACTCGCGCGATAAATTTTTTCCCGCGATAAATCGCAAGCGGAGTGTAACGGCCGCGGGCCAAGACTGCGATTCGCGTTCGCGTCAAAGTGCCTTGGTCGAATTCGCAAACGATCGAACTAAAATTTCCCTTTTGCCACGGCCGGGCACAATTCGCGTGGGCGCACACAGGGTTTTAATTAGGGGGAGTGGAGAGGGGCGGGAGGAGGAGGAGGTGTAATTAGGTGCGGGGCGTTGCATCGAAGCGCGGTGTAGTTACGGCCGATTACGCTGTTGCGCGCGTTGTAGCCGACAACAAAGATCAGGAGGAGTGGCGGCATTCTCGGATCGGCTCCGAGAGCTCGCACGGAGCTCTCGGAGGGTCGCATCGGAGCGGCGCCGCCGCCGCGTTAACGACGCCCGCGTTTTCTAATTGTCGTCCCCCCTCCCCCTCCATTCGAGAACTGCCGTTTCCCACGAAGATTCGCGATTCGGGCCAAACGTTATCGCGCGCCGCGGAATTATCGGAAAGTAATTAACTACTAATCGGCTGGAGGGTGGTAGCTGGGATTGGAAAACGCGATGCTCCTTCTTAACACCGGTGATACATTTAACTGAAGGGTGGGAGAAAGGGAGAGAAGCGTTGCGTTTTGAGTACGTTTACCTGCGTTTCGTCTGAAATACGATAGATTTAATCGTGCCGGTCACGCAGGCTAGTTTACACAAGTGTCTTCGGAGTAACATCTAAGGTGCTTTAAAAATAGCATCAGAGAAAGAGAGAGAAAGAGGAGGGGGGGAGCGGGAAGAATTTATCAGATAAATGTCTTGAGTATTGCGCTAGTTAATTAAGAAAAAAAAATGTGTGAAAAAGAGGTATTTGGAAGACAGTTACAAGAAGATCGGTGGACGTTTACGGGCGACAACCGTTTATTTAAAGCAAACGTGGCACCGAGTAATCGATCGGCTTCTTTGCGGCAGCCCTAATAAATTTCCTGCTCTTATTGCCGCCGCTTTTCCCCGCCGAGCTTCTAAGCTGTCTGTCCACTCGATAAATTTCGACGACGCTTTCTGCAGCGCGCATTTCTTTAACGCCCGGCGACGTTCTGCAACGCAGGTGCGAGAGCGCCGCCACCTTTCTGTTGTTGCATTACGAAAAGAAGATTACGAGCGTCTCAGTGTTAATGGCACACGGGAGTGCCCGCGTAGGGTGGCCTCCCTTCTTCGCGCCCGCGAAACATAAGCGATTAATGGCTTTTGTAAACGACCTCTTATTTCTTGTCGTCGCGGAAGTAACCCTGAATTATATTCGGGACGGCGCCCAGATCAAAAATTATTTACTCCGCATGCAGCGATTATAATATCGAAATATCGTCCCTTTATTAAGCTTTATCTGTCTTTATTTCCAATCCCCCGGGGAGAAAAGGAAGGTGCCCGCGCGCAGGTAGATTTCACTTTAAATGGAATTTAATTCGAAGATAATTTCCTTAGAGTGATTTTTAATGGCGACCATAAAGATGAAAATTACACAACGAACGATATTTTTATTTCTTCTGTTGTAACAGTTCAAATTAATAGCTCCTCGGTTTCTCTGATTCACCTGATAGATTTGTGATACGGGGGGAAGACGAACGATTTCACGCGATCAGGAGGATTAGGAGGAACGATAATCGGCGATTATTACTGATTAAGAAATTCCGCGGTAGAAACATCGAGGGACTATCATTACGCGGACTTTGATATTATTCAGTGTGGATTTTCGATATTCTGTCCACTTTCGCATTACTGCAACTCTACCGACGTCGGCTCTCTACGGCTTCTATGCCGATCTCGCGCGCCAAATATTTTTTTCACTGCAGCGGGTCCGCACCGATACGGCCGGCCCGCGGCCGTTTCTATACCTCGCGAAACGGAGGAACGGTCGTGGAATTAATTCTTTATATTACCGGACGGAAGGAAGGCAGGAAACGGAATGGATGTCGGGCTGGGGCGCATTTGTCGGAGGTAAACGCGCACGCACGTACGGAACATTATTTCGTCCGCGCCTGAGGGCCCGGGAGACTGCTGCGATAGCGAAAAAAAAAAAAAAAAGAAGGAGAAAAAAGGAAAAGAATATAACCGACCCGTTTTCGAATCGTTTCGCACATCGCGCGCGTACTCCGATACGTTGGCCGGTCTCCGACGAGAGAGAACGGCCCGTAACTCCGGAGGCGAGGCAGTTTTCCCAACTTTCACCGTGTGTTTCGCGCGAGAAGATATCGCAAAAGGTCGTACACTGCAGTATTGAGTAGGTTGCGTTACTTCTTTCGCGGGAAAAAGCGGCCTTTGTCACACGGAGCGCACTAAAAACCATTTCGCATTCCTCCGGAATGAGAGTGGAATAGGGGTACTTAAAAAAATTAGATATTAAACCAAACTTCCCCC